CAATTGTTTTTAACATTTGTTAGGTTTAAATGTACAGGAATATGACATGCTTGACTTCGTGTAAGCTCTGGACTATTATTAAAATGCCTTTAAAATTAATTAGAAGTATTAATAAATAAGCCGCTACCCAACACAAAGCCAAGCCTGCCACCCTCCATAAATTTCTTTTCTTTTCAATTTTTTTTTTTCAAAATCTGCATAATCAGATTCGTTTTTGAGACTATTTCCCATTTTTAGTTAGTATTTCCTACAAGTTAATACCCACAAAAATTAATTAACTTATAAATAAACAAATTATTATTATTTCTTTTTATTTTATAATTAATAATAATATTAATGATTATGGTTGAGAGAGTCAATTAAATAACAATATATATAAGACTTAATTTTTTGTGTGTCGTATTCTTCAGTTTTTTGTTTTTCATTTAATAAATAACTCTAATATACTAACTTCGTTAATTTCTATTCAATTTAACGCTATACTTATTTATATATTTATATGTTTATATATAAAAATTATTTACAAAACAATAATTTGCATAGAAGCCAGAAAAAATGAAGCCATTGGAAGGTGAAAAGGAAAACCTTGGTTTTTTCTAGATTTATTTATTATTTTTTTATAATCAACTCCAACATTATTTCAAAATCTTCTGTTAGATACCCTCAGTTTTAAGTTTTTCTCGAAATCGAATACATTTTTTTCATTTACAATCGAACTTCCCTAAGAAATGAACTAGTTCAATGGAACTATTCCGCAAAGGGAACGTTCGGTACTAGTATCAAACTAGAACGATTCCCTTGTTCATCTAGTTCCTTTTGTCGTTCTCGGTTTTGTTATCGTACCGCTTCAGAAACGAAGCGGTTCGGACTCTAGAATTAATTATAATTTGCATCCTATTCTTACTCTGTTGACTTTTCGACTTGGGGAAGATCGACTGTAAATGAAGAATTGTATTCCATTTAGAGAAAAACTAGTTCTTTAACATAAGAACTAAAATGAAATCACTAAGCTGGTTTGAGCTATGGAAGTCCGAATGTCTTTAAATTGATAAAATAAATATCCAGATCTTTGTAACCAACCGAAGACCTTGAAATTTGTTCGAAGTTTTTTTGGGTGTGTTCTAGTTATGGAGGTTTTTTAGTTCAGTTAAAAAAAACTAAGTTTATTCACTGGGGTTTATATTATAAATATATAAATTTATAAATATATAAATTGTTTGTTCATTTTTTGTGGTATGGAACTTTCTTTGGGTTGTTTTTATCGTTTGCTATGCTTTTCTTCTAAGAAATATCCTATTTTTCAAACAATTTTTTTTTCAATTTTGACTAGAACAAAGAACTAAAAAAACACACAAGTTTTATTTTTGTTTTCCTCATAGAAATTTAAGTAGTTTTTTTTTTTGTATTGCAAAATTAGATTTTTTAAGGATTTATTTTTTTTTAATTATTACCCTCTAAAAATTCTATAAAGAAGGAGAAATAATTCCCTTGGTTGTTGCAGAAGAAAAAAAAGAAATGCACCACATTTCCTTATTTTGAATTGAACAATATTTCCCCCCGTTATATAGACGATACTGGTTCAAAGGAACTATTCCACAAAAGGAACTATATGAACGCAAGAATTAGACGTGGTTCCTTTTGATCCACTTGTTTATTTTTGTTATTTTTTTTTGTTCACTTATTTCCATTTGATCCAATCATTTATCTGGCTCCGTACATTCCTGTTCGTGAATTAAAAATGAACATATGCACCAAATTATTGTTTGAATATTTTCTCTTTCGACAAATGAACACTTTGGCTTTGAACAATGAAGTTTTTTTTTCTAAATGATAGGGTCAATAAAAGAAAAATTTCGATTATTCGAAAAACAACTTCAAAGTGATATTTTTCATTATGGATATCCAGAATAGAGCCCTAGATCTGTTATTATTCTTTTTATATCACCTTGGAAAAGTAATGATTGTAATGAACCTTTATCCATTGCACGTATTAGTTAATTTAGGCGTTTCAATGGAACTAGTTCGTTCCTTTAGTTCTTAATTCGGTATTTAGTCCATTGAACAATGGACCACCATTTATGTTGTTAGTTTTTTTTGGTTCATAGACAATTAATTGTTCGTTGTATTTTCCTGTGCTAATTTTTGCCAACTGAAGTAGACTGAACTAGTTCATATGCTCTTTTCAGGGAATCATTCAATTGAACTCGTTCGTCCGTTTGAAAACGCTTTCTGGACTATGTTTCTGATGAGCACATCATTTTATTTAAAAACGTTTAGGGGTTTTAATGGAACTAGTTCGTTCCTTTAGTTCATAATTCGGTATTTAGTTCAATGAACAATGGGCCACAATTTATCTTGTTAATTTTTTTTTTTCGTTGATCGACCCTTATACAATGAATTGTTCGTTGTTCTTTCCTGCGCTGATTTTTGCTAACTGAAGTAGACTGAACTAGTTCATATGCTCTTTTCAGTGAATCATTCATTTGAACTCGTTCGTTCGAAAACGCTTTCTGGACTATGTTTCTGATGAACAAATCATTTTATTTTCAGTTCAGATTTGGTTCGGGTAAGAGAAACCATGTTTGTAGAGACCACATTTCTGACTTGTCTTAACAAATTCGAAAGGATTTCGGAACCTTTTTTTATATTAAGCCTAGCATTTTTTTTGTTTGTTGGACTGCCATTCTAAGAGTAGAATTCCTCAAATTCGGACGATCGTAAGCTCATTTTTCAAGCGAATGTGCTATAATTGTCAACCTGAGTATCCGGGAAAGTCATAGCCACATTGTCAACCTACTGGCGGAAGTTTTTAATTTCCATATAAGTGTCCTGAAGCTCTTAACGCCAAAGTGACTGTTTCGGTTTTCAGATGATAAAAGATCTCCCGCAGACGTTTTTTCAATAGGTCCCGATCGATATTCGGTATTTGAAAGTCTCAATTTCATTTGAGACTCTAGGGGCTGTAATTTGCGCTTCCTCCAAGGTAAAAAATCTTCTGGAAGTCGATTATCAGTAAAGTTTCATATTTCGTTATGGCTCGAATACAGAGGTCCCCTATGTTTTTAGGTACATATTACCCGAAAGTACTAGCCGGGGATACTAAGATAAAATATCTCTCTGAAGGAAACGTCAATGATTAGGCATAAAAACATTCTGACGGAACATTTTCTTTATGAGTTAATGTTTTGACATTTAATTGTCCTGCCTCATTTGCAGACATGCTAACACTAAAGTTTCATATAAAATAATTCCGACAGATTTTCGATATTTGTATGGTCCCATGCTGTTTTTCACACTGTACTGAGCCGGCGGTGCAGGTTTTGACATAATTTCCACATAAGTGTCCTGAAGCTCCTAACGCCAAAGTGTCTGTTTCGGTTTTCAGATGGTTAAACATCTCCTGCAGACGTTTTTTTCCAATAGGTCCATGTGAAGTGGCCCGGTATTTGAAAGTCTCATTTGAGACTCTAGGGGCGGTAATTTGCGCTTCTTCTAAGGTAAAAAATCTTCTGGCAGTCGATTTTCAGTAAAGTTTCATATTTTGATATGGCTCCAATACAGGGGTCCCCAATGATTTTAGGTATTATCTGAAAGTAATAGCAGGGATACTAAGATAAAATATCTTCCTGAAGACAAGGTCAATGATTTGAGCTGGCAGCCATACATATTAGTCATAAAAACCAGCTGACGGAACATTTTCTTCATGAGTAAATGTTTTGACATTTAATTGTCCTGCCTCATTTGTAGACCTGTGGGTCGATTCACTATTAAATTTATACAATTCTCAAATCGATAAAATGTTATGACGAAAAAATAAACAATATTTCAATTCTATAACAGTTTTTAACAACAATTGTTAAAAATGTTGTTAATAAACAACACCAAAATATTCGAAGTTAACTTATCGACAAATATTTTTTAATATTGAACATGCCTTGTTTTGTTCTGAATTTGTATGTATTTTGTTTTCAAAATTTTCAAAATTAAAAGCTTTTTGAAAGTTTATCGTCAATTTGTCTACATTTTTACAGAATAATATTTTCGTTACTGCAAACTATTTTATGTGTAGACAAAATTGTCGATTGTCGGATCGTTATAAGTTACTGAATCGACCTACTGCTAACACTAAATTGTCATATAAAAGAATTCCGACAGATTTTCGATATTTTCACACTGTACTGACCTGTTATTTTGGCATTTCTGTTCCGAGATTATAAAATGATTCTGGCGAAAAATAATGGACTGAAGTACCTTTGGTATGGTCCCGATATTTTTATATTTTGAGACTCCTTATCTAATTTTTTATTAATTGCCAATTCTAATTCCTCAAACGACCTCCGATTTCTTTGTACCACCCTATTTTTTGTAATTTGAGGTTTCTTAACTCATTTCTATTGATGGTGTAGAGAAGAATACATGAATCCTTAAATACTATTTCAAACATTTGTTCTTTTCAACCTCTGAAGTATTTCTCCTACTCTATCTGGATTTCGAAAGGCTTAAACCGAACATTTCTAAAAAATATAACAAAAATGTCTACATAAAGCCTGGATTTTTTTCTACATTTAAATATTTAATATTTGTAATGTTTTTGGGGGTATTGAGTATTTTGTTGCATATATGTTTGCTGGGTGATGTTGTTTGGATACTTTGGAGAAGTTCCAGATGGTAAAAAGATGATAAAGATAATGAGAGGGTGGATTACATTGGTCGTCTGTACTCAATCTGCTATCACTTGGTGCTAAAACCCAATATTTTGGATTTTTTTCTGCAACTACAACAATTTGGTGGTGTTGGATCCTGAAAAAGGATGTGGGTGCGTTCAGGATGTGGGAGGATGAGTTATTTTTTTGAATAGATTTATGTGTCCCTGCCGTTAAATCTATATGGAGAAAAATGGTTCCTTTATCGATTGACGTGATGATCCCGATGATGTTATAATTCATTGTTGTTGTTTGGGTTGGTGTTGTTGCTGCTGCTCCCATTGCCATCGGTGTTGTTGTCCGTGCTCTTTTGATTTTGACACAGTTCCATAATACTCATTGAGGTGGTGAGGTCACAGAATCCAGAGAGTACAAACAACTACTACGTATACTAATCCATGCCATGCGGATTGGGACTCTGGCCACCTCCCATCATAAATGAGGTGGGACTGTGCACAGATATGCTGTCCAAATCCAGGGTGCCATCACCTTTCTCCAGCATACCTGAACCATCCTGTTTCATCATCATGCGACGCCATTTGGCACGGGCATTTTGGAACCACACCTGGAAAACACAGAAAATTTTAGATTAATATACCATATAAAAGAGAGTTTTCCTCTCTCCCTCTCTCACCTGTAATACTCTCTTTGGCAAACCCGTCTTCTGCGACAACTGCTTCAAATCCTTCGCATCCGGATTGTGATTAATGGCAAAATACGATTTCATCGTCCTCAGCTGATGATGCTTGAACGAGGTACGCATTCGCTTCGTACGCGACGATGCACTCATATGCGAACCCCGACCAAAATCCAAATACTCAGTGTTTAAATCTGTTTGAAGAAAATTGGCTTTGGTTAGGACAAACGTTTCGTCTGTGAAGAGAGAGAACAGTACTTGCATTGCATACCTATGTTGGCAGTGAGGGCTTCAATATCTTTGGGCTTACGTTTGCGGGGTCGACCCTTTTGCCGTGGCGGCTGTGGAAGACCGGTCATCACGTGAGAGGCGGAGGCAAATATACTACTAGGAACAATACGGGTCGGATCCGAGTGGGGACTCGACGAATCATTCGGTGGTGAACCAAATTGACTTGTATACGGGTAGGAGCTGGCACCGCCCACGCCGGGCACAACAGCCGGACCGAGGCTGGTTGAGGCCGTATCACCTTCACGGGCCATTGTGTAGTGGGTTCTGTGAAAGAGAGAAAAAACTTGATTAGAAGTTCTTTTAAAGTTTTTTTTTTTCGTCTGCGGTACTTACCTACAATAGATGAGCGCATCTATGATCCCATATTGATCACCTTTTGTCAGGGGACTTTGACAGACCACACAACAAAAACAGGTCACATGAAATACTAAATTTCTCGCCCTCATCACCAGTTCGGAGGCCCCAATCGATGCCAGACAGCGGGAACAGCGTCGTGTACCAAAAACACTGCAAAGAGGAAGGGGAATGGTTTTGGTTAGTAAAAAGATTGGACCATAGAAAATAAGTGCGATAAAAATTTTAAAAACCGAATCCGACCTTCGCGTATTCGGTTTTTATGTTTTCAAGGTATCCACATAGTAAGATAGGGTTTTTAGGTTATCCAAATATCGCGGATAATGATTTTTTTATTATCCGTATAACGCGGATAAAGTTTTTATTTTATCCGAATATCGTGGATAATATTTTTATGGTTCCGGTATGATGCGGATAAGATTTTAAGGTTATCCACCTACGTTTAAGGTTATCCGAATAACGCGGATAAGGTTTTTATGATCTTAACATTGCGTGGATAATGCGGATAACATGATTATGTTATCCAAATATCGCGGATAACCATTTTTTGTTATCCGAACAACTCGGATAATGTTTTTTTATTATGCGCATAATGCGGATAAGGCGGATAACATTTTTACTTCGTCAAAATACCATTGATAATGATTTTTTATTATCCGCATATCTCGGATAATGATATTTTATTATCCCGATAACACGGAAAATTTTTTAAACTTATCCAAACTCAATGGATAACGTTTTTATGCCATATAAACACCGCGTATAAGATTTCTAAGTTATCCACATAACTTGGACAAAGTTTTCATGTCATCCGCAGAGCGTGGATAATGCGGATAATATGTTTATGATATCCAAATCGCGCGGATAATGTTACTTTATTATTCGGATAACGCGGATAAGGATATAATGTTATCCAACCCAATTTTTATGTTATCCAACCCAATTTTTATGTTATTCGCATAGCGTGGATAAACTGGATAACATTTTTATAATATCCAAATAACGCGGATAATGATTTTTTATTATCCGGGTAACGCGGATAAGGTTTCAATGTTATCTCAATATCGCGGATAATGATGTTTTGCTATCCGGATAACGCGGATCTTATCCAAACTCAATGGATAACGGTACACCGCGGATAAGTGTTTTATGTTATCCCCATAACTTGGATAATGTTTCCATGTTATCCGCATAGCGTGGACAACATTTTTATGCTATCCAAATATCCTACATAATGATTTTTTGTTATCCGGATAACGTTTTCATGTTATCCGGATAGCGTGAATAACGCGGATAACATTTTTATGATACCCAAATTGCGCGAATAATGTTTCTTTATTATCCTGATAACGCGGATAAGGTTATAATGTTACCCAAACGCATATTTACTTTATCCGCATGAAGTGGATAATGCGGATAAAACCTCTTTGTTATCCAATCATCGCGGATAATGCATTTTTATTATCCGCTTGACGCCACTAAGGTTTATATTTTATCCGAAGGCCGTCAGTCAACCGATGAGGCCATTGAGCCAACCGAGTAGTGTCTGGATCGACTCTACCTTTCATAGAGAACATTCTCAAACCTCGTTTATCATCCGAAGACCTCTAGACGCTTTTTATTATCCCCTTAACGCTAAGTAGGTTTTTATTTTATTCGAACTCCTTGGATAATGAATCCAATTCATCCGATTGACACCACTTAGGCTTTATTTAACCTTCTCAAACCTCTTTTAGTCTTCGAAGACCTCTAAAAGTTAGGTTTATTACGCTAAGTAGGTTGTTATTTTATTCGAACGCCTTTGATAAGGGGTCCAATTCATTCCAACCTCTTCTATCTGCCGAAGCCCTCTGAAGCTTCAATGATTTCTATATTCTGCTTGATGTCTACATTAAGATCTCTCATAGAGAATCGCCTCCACCTCTTCTATCTTCCGACGACTTTTCAATGTTTTAATAGGTACAGCTTCTACAAGATTTTTATATTTAGCATACCTCTCTCTAGAAGATTTGCTTTCTTACAAATTGTTTCAGATTTTCATTCTCAAACCTCGGGTATCTTCCGAAGACCGTTATAATTTTTTTTATTATTCGCTTTGATGTTAATTTGTTATTTTATCCGAACGCATTGTATAAGGGGTCCGATTCATTCGAATAGTGTGGTTGGCCTCCATCTCTTGTAGAAAATCTTCCCAGCCATTTCTATCTTCTGAAGACATCTACAAGCTTTAATAGGTTCTCCTTTGCCATGATTTTTATATTTAGAATATATCTGGTAGGTAATCGTCTCCTCATCTTTTATCGTCCGAAGACCTTTAATAGCTTCAATAGGTACCGATTCTGCATGATACTCTTAACAACAAAATCATGCAGAATGGGTACCTATTGAATCTATTAGAGGTCTTTGGGCGATAAAAGAGAAGGGGACGATTATCTACAAGAGGTCTAGAAATTATGGCGAAGGAACCTTCCTCCAATCCCTTCTATCCATCGTCTATAAAATTCCCAAGCCTCTATAAAATTCCCTTCCTTACAAAATATTTCAGATTTTAATTTTCTTCACTCCCATTCCTCCCCTCCGTCAACATATTTAATTTCATTCCATATATGAACCCTGAAACAGGTGAATTATGTTGGAGATATCCCGCAGTCACCACCATCCTGACATTGTCCCCTTGACAAAAAATACCAACAAAAATTAACACCTTCTTGCACGGAATGGACCCACCTCTATGCAGAGCGGTGGGCTATTATTTTTCAGTGCGTTTTATTAGCATCAGCGGCAGCACCGCAACATTTATACTGCCCTTCTCTCAGCCAATGTCACGGATGATGAATGTCCCAGTCTATGGGCCATAGATTTGCTGGCTCCTTCGTAGATTACACAAAAATGATAAGAAGGTGGTACAAAAAACAAACTTGAGATATTATCTGTTCATGTTGTTTAGTTGCACCTCTCATATGATGACGATTTGGCATCAGTGGCGGGCTGGTTGGTGGTAGTAGTAAATATTTCTGATTCTGGGGTCTGGTTGGTCTTAAATTGGCAGCCAACAACAACAAAAACATAAAGTCTTCTTGGTGATATTCTGCGATTGCATGTGTGCATGACAACAATTTATGTCACCTCCCCAAATGTATATGGGGCGAAAAGAAGGAGGAGGGGAGAGAGTTCCCCATAACCAACCTCCCCATTCATTTCCAGATCCATTTCATTGTGATTTAGTTTTCCGTAACTTCAACTCCAACTTGGTGTGCAAAAATGTTGATAGTTTTGCATTTTCGGATTTATAACTGACTGACTGGTAGTTCTTGAGTGTCAGTATGTATGCCTGTCCGTCTGTCTGTTTGTTTTTTCTGCATGTCGTAATACGTGCACCTTGATTTGTTGCAGTTACGTGCCGCCACTGCAAGTGGGTTATGTCTGTTTGGTTTGGTGAATCTGATTCGAAGTGTTGCCGTATCTGTGTCGTAAAGGGAATGGGGGGTTAGGAGTTTGGTTTTTCAACCAGATGAGTGTGTGCGTCCGTGTGTGTGGTATGACGATGATGTTCTGTGGTAACAGCCAGCCAACCAACCAGCCACAACATCTGAAGGAACAGGAGCAGCATCAGCAAGTGCAACCGTAAACCACAAAACAAACAACCGATCATCCATCATCCTAGATGAGAATTCTGAGGATGACGTTTGCAAATGAAGATAAGTTGATCTGCTGCACAATGGGTTGAGATTTTTTCAAAATCCAAATGTTGGATATATTTTTTTTAATAAATGGTTATCCATGTATAGTTTTAACCTCGACATAGAGGTAGGGATACCCAAAAACTTATTAACAAAATATTTGAAAAAAAAACAAGTGAAAAAGCGGTAAGTTCGGCCGGGCCGAACTTTGGATACCCTCCACCATAGATATATTGACAGGTACTATAAATGAAAATATAGGGAACATACCAAAAAGTGGAGCTAAACCATAATAAAAATTTTAGAAATTTTTAAAGGAAATTTTTTAATGATTATACCCTCAGCCTTGTGGCTAATGAGGGTGTATACACTTTAACACGGCGAAATATTGGTTCTAGACCCCATGTTTCTTTGGACCAAATCCGTTTCAGAAAATTTAGATTTCATCCGAACTTTGCCCATCTTATTATTTCTTCCAAGCTTAGTTCAAATTCGAAGATGGGGAATATTGATCCACTCCTTCTGGAACCTCCAATCAGGGGCTAGGTCTGAATGCGGCTATAGTTCATTATCGAACCTTACGTGGCCGACTATATGATACCCTTCACCACTATGGATATATTAAACAGGACTATTAACATGAAATTGGATGAAATAAAATATGTGATATTTATCTAAATGTGAATCTACCTATATATCCATAAGTTATATAAATCGACTTCAATCAAATATAAATAGGTTATCTGTTGGGCTATGTCTGTACTTCTAGAAAACGCAACTACGTAATTCTATGCTCAATTTTGTACGTTGTGCAAAATTTGATGTCAACCTGACTAGCATGAAGAGTTTGATGTCCAATTTACTTAAAATCGGGTGAAAATATATATGGAAGCTCTATCCAAATATATCGAAGGATATATAGGGACTTTGTTGCACCATTTACATGAAATCGGACGAAACTATATATGGGAGCTATATCTAAATCTGGACCGATTTTCTCGAAACTGGGCAGACATCATTCTAGGCTCAATTCAGTACGTTATGCCAAATTTCCTGCAAATCGAAAGATATATAGGGACTTTGGGGCACCATTAACATGAAATCGGACGAAACTATATATGGGAGCTATATCTAAATCTGGACCGATTTTCGCGAAACTGGGCAGACATCATTCTAGCCTCAATTCAGTACGTTATGCCAAATTTCATGCAAATCGAAAGATATATAAGGACTTTGGTACACCATTTACCTTAAATCGGAGGAAGATATATACGGGAGCTATATCTAAATCTGAACCGATTTTCACGAAACTTTGCACACATCATTCTAGACTTAATTCAGTGCGATATGCCAAATTTCGTGCAAATCGAAAGATATATAGGGACTTTGGTACGCCATTTACCAAAAATCGGCCGAAACTATATATGGGAGCTATATCTAAATCTGAACCGATTTTCACGAAACTTGGC